CTCACACACACTCACACACACTCACACACACTCACACACACTCACACACACACACACGCTGATGAGGGCACCTTCACTCACCTGCTGATAAAAATAGTTGAGAGTGGGTTTGTCTTCAGCGAACTGATTGAGGAAGCCCTTGGGCAGGTAACGGATCCTTAGCTCATACCTGAGGAGGAGAGAGAAAACATGATAAATAAAAGAGTCATGACAGGAGAAATCACCATGTGCCTAAACATCCCACACACACCTGTGCTGATAACAGAGTCAAGCTCATGATGAAACCTCATCTTTCTCCACCAAATCAATAGAAAAACTAAGGAACTACACTGCGCTGAAAGAAAATTAAGCTCTGTTTTAGTACCACTAAGATATTTTGCATTCTATTAATGACAAATGAGCACATTTTCAAAGAACAGAACAGAACAGAACAGAATAGAATAGAACGGTGGTTGTTTTGTATTACAGCAGCTTTAAGTCCAAGACAATAAAGTATAACTCTAACTTCTTACTTGTTTATTTGATTTTCACTAAGGTTATGTTACTTTAAATAATAATAATAGTAATAAATTTTATCAAGCACTTTTCAAGGTACTCAAAGACGCTTTATAAGAGATAAAAATAACAATAACAGTATAACAAAAAGCATAAAAATAACAACAGCACATTATTTTATCTATATATTTCATTATTTTTTATTTTAATTTATTATTGTTTTATCACCTTATTTTATACTTTTCTATTTTATTATAATTTTATTTCTTACTTGTTCATTTGATTTGAACTATTGCTATGTTTTAAAAAGTACTCAAATATGCTTTACAAGAGATAAAAGTAACAAAAGCACCCTATTTTATTTAATTTTTTTTACTCTGCTTTATTTGTATTGCATGCAGCAAACACATTAGCAGTACTGACGTTCAGTTATTGTCATGCTTACGAAGGATGACAATAAACTGAAGGAGAAAAAGAAAGAAAACTAGAAAATGTGGAACATTAAACATTAAAAAAGAGAGAGGTGTGTGTGTGTGTGTGCGTGTGCACGTGTTTTTGTGACAAATGAGGACATAAATTTGTATAATGGCAAAGGTATGACAGGTATTACAAGGAGAAGGTGACTTTTCAGGACATTACCCCATGTCCCCACTTTTCAAAACGCTTATAAATCACACAGAATGGAGTGTATTGAAAATCTGAAATAGCAGAAACATAGGTTTAGGGGTAGGGTTGGTGTAGGGCAATAGAATATACGGTCTGTACAGTATAAAAATCATTACGCCTATGGGATGTCCCAACTTTTCACAAAAACAAACCGGTGTGTGTGTGTGTCTGTGTGTGTGTCTGTGTGTGTGTGTGTGTGTGTGAGTGTGAGTGTGAGTTAGTGTCACTCTCAAAGCCACACACACATGATCCCTACATAAGCGAAACACTCCAAAAAATCAATACTAGAGTCATTCTGATTCCAAACACACAGCTCATCACTGCTCCATCGTGAGGACACTCGTAAATCACTGTCAGGTCAGTATGATTGTTCTTTCCAGTGTGTGCTCTGATCTTTTTCACAGTCTGTAACAGTACAGCTTCTTCATTTGAAGGGTCTCCTGCTGAAACTCCAGAGGAAATGATCCTTCAGTGCTTTCCCTGACTTCCTGGACCTCGCTCAGGAAATGATCAAATCTCAGTTCCTGAGCAGTGAAGAAAGCTGGAGCTCAAGCGCAGTTCACACACTTCTGAAAGCAGCTCTGCTGGGAAAAGCGCCTTCTCTGCACTGTTAAACTGTGAAAGTGTTCTGTACTTTCAGGCTCATAAAATTCAAACTGATCTAAAAACAGAAGTAGACTGAAAGCAGAATCAAATTAGCTAAAATATCTAACAAATAAACCATTAAGGTTGGGAAGCTACTCTACACGGCAAAAAAACATTTCTTTCTAGCCAACATATACTGTATGTCGAATCCATGCTAAATACATGTTGTAAACAGTACAACATATACAGTCCGAAATATTTTTCAAATTCTAAATATATTTTGTTGAAACATTCAAATGCCAAATTTGATTAAAAAAAATACATTTCCAATATTATAATAAATTTTGGGTTATTGTAAAATGCATTTTTGAAAGATATTTGGACAATATAAACATATTTAAATCAAGTTAAGTCAAATGTATTTGTATAGTGCTTTTTACAATAATACACAGTCTCTCAAAAAATCTCAACAGAAAATCAAACTGTGTATATAAATTAAATGTACTTAAAATATATATAAAAAACTATTAAAAGGATTATATATACATTCTAATAGTATTTTAATAATAAATGTTTTTATATATATATATATATATATATATATATTTTTTTTAAATATGGCAAACATTTTCAAAAGTATTATTAAATAAAATATAAAATTAACTTAAGAAAATTAATTAGAAAAATGTCCCAAAAATGTGTTGAAATATAAGTAAACTAACTGAAAATCTATTTATATAATAAACATAAATCTATTTTAATCATAAATTGTAATTAAATTATAATTATGAAATAATTTTTCATTTGAACAATAAAAAATAAAACTATATATATATATATATATATATACACACACACTGTATGTGACATGTGCAGCACTGGGAACGATGGGTATTCCAATCGTGTGAGGCTTTCTGCTGGCCTAATAATGAGGTCATTTTGTGAGCACATGATTGGTTGTAGCTGGGACGTGATCACTCATGTTTCTCTCTAGAGGAAATCAAAGCAGCGAGAGTCGCCTGCCTACAGCGAAAGAACTAGATCCTCTTCCAGCTCCATCTGAACATGAGCTCATCTGCCTTTCAGCACAAACGCTGAGCAAGAGAGATCCATCAACGCCTCCGCAAAGCCACAACAACACCGACAGCCGTGCAGGAGCGTTATTAGAGCTCCTAAAGAATGACATCAGCACTGAGAGCGGGACGCTTCACCCACAGACAAACGAAACAAACGGCCTGATCTGATCACAGCCTCTGAGATTCACGAAAACTGTGACATATGAGGAGCACAAGAGCACACATCATGCTCTGTACAATGTCAGAATGTCAGTAATTAGATTGCTGGGAAGGAATCTGGCTGGGGTTTCCCACCGATTCACATGAGCTCTGAAGAGAGAGAAGAGACGAGTGTAAGGAGAAAATCTCATTATTCAGGAATGATGATTTTTTTATGTTTTTGAAGGAAGTCTCGTTTGCTCACCAATGCTGCATTTATTTGATCAAAAATACAGTAAAATAGTGAAATATTATTACAATTTCAAATAACTGTTTTCTATGTGAATATACAGTAAAATGTAATTTATTTCTGTGATCAAAGCTGAATTTCCAGCAGCATTACTCCAGTCTTCAGTGTCACATGATCTTCAGAAATCATTCTAATATGCTGATGCACTGCTCAAGAAACATTTATGATTATTATCAATGTTTAAAAGAGTTGTGCTGCGTCATATTTTTGTGGAAACTGTGATACATTTTATTTTTCAGGATTCTTTGATGAAAAGAAAGTTCAAAAGAACAGCATTTATTTAAAATAGAAATATCTTGTAACATTATTAATGTCTTCACTGTCACTTTTGATCATTTTAATGCATCCTTGCTGAATAAAAGTATTCATTTCTTTAAAAAAAAAAGAGAATAAATCTTACTGACACAGAATTTTGAATGGTAGTGTGCATTAAAAGTGTAAATCTATCAGGAAAAAGTCATGTTTACAAGTTCCCATGCTGCTAAAATCACTGGATCTGACACGGTTTTTGACGTTTATGACATTAAAACGTAGAAACAGGAAAAGAGTTTTATCTGAGGCACTTGCTTGGTAGAAAATTAATGAGTTATGTTCAATAAAAAAAGCAATACTTTTGAATAAACAGAAAGCTCAGAAAGTCACACACATTGCACACAAATTTCTCAGTTATTGTACAAACATTTGCAGAAACTATTGTGCAATGATGTATCACGGGTTTCAGATGAATCCAGTCCTAAAAAAAAAGTCACTTTTCATATCTGTCAGATGATTCTTCCTGTCTAAACGGGCCATTCTTGACCAGAACAAGCTGCAAAGCAAACCATTCTGGCTGTATCAAGAGCCGAACTGAAGGTTTTATGCTGGTCTGGGCCTCAGGACGCAGAAAACCACCAAAAGTAAGGAAAAGTAATCAGATCACAACTCTTCAAAACCTACAAGAGTTTGAGATAATCAAGCGTTTCCCTCAAACAGCAGCTTGTGTACGGGGCAGTTAAAAGGTGGGATTTTAAATCACCGCCGCTCTTTTCTCTGCGTCTCTGTGCTATGAGTGACCGAACAAAAGCTGCTGCGAGTGAATTAGCGGCGGTGAATGGACGCGCAGCTGCTTCACGGGGCACACGGCCCTGACGGCTCCCCTGCTGCATTGTGGGTAGAGACGAGGTGACATAAAATACCATCTGTGAGGGAATAACTCACAGACTCTGATCAAATAAAACACACACACATGGACATGGACAAAGACAAGGCCAGCAGCAGGAACACTAATTTAGAGTAGGGGTGTGCGATATTGACAAAAAATGATATCTCGATATTTTCTGGGATTTTATCGATGACGATATGTGTGTTATTGTGCTGGTACCTTAAGGACTGCCGAAGACAGCTGACTCCTAACGTTTTTAATATTCTTCATATTCTGTGTGGCGGTCAGTTCAAACTGATAGAAGTTAATCTTTTCCAATAAGTTTAAACAGATTTTTACATTTTATGGGCATTTTTACCTTTATAAAGCCATAATAAAACAAATAAGACAAAAGCACATGATTAAATTACTCAAACTTAAACTAAAACAAAAAAGTATTTATTACTCTTAAAAATATTAACTTAATACAATATTAAAATAAGAATTTTTGTTAATATTATTTAATGGACCTGAGCTAACATGAACTAACAGTAAACAGTTATATTTTTATTAAGTTAGATTAACAAAGATTAATAAATACTGTAACAAATGTATTGCTCAGTGTTAATTAGTCATTTAATGAATTAAATAATAACTAATGATACCTTACAGTAAACTTTTACTAAACATAAAAAAACAAAATGAAAATTATAATGCCTTGGCAGAAGTTGAAATACTAAAATTACTACATTGAAAGTGAAATAAATTATTAAAAGATAAAAACACAACAAAAACTAATAAAATTACAACAACACATAACAAAATTACTAATATTTAAACTAAAATATAAACATAATGAAAATATAAAAAAATAAAAGATCATTCAAAATATTATAACTGCACAAAAAATATAAAATACTAAAATAACCCTATTTTTAAATTCACGGTTAAGTAATATTTTAGACAGGATGGACCAGAGCCCATTTGCCGTCAAAGTTGGGTTTACTAGACGCTGTATTTGATCTCCTCTTGTGTGTGTGAATGTTGATTGCGTGTGAAACGTGTGTGAATGATTTACCTCCATTCGTCCTGTGGGCGGTTCTGCTCGTATCTCTCCCTCACGTGGGACACGCCCATATCCGGGTGGAGCCAGTGGATGTCGCCCGACGGAACGTGAGTGAGACGCAGCCCGAAACAAGCCACGTGTTTGACCTTATGAATGTCCACGATCTTCTGAATGATTCCCTGCAGACACAAAACACACAGTTCACGCTCATAAAAATCCCACAATACACGGCATACTGCGATATATAAACTGATTTATAGACGCATAAAAATCCCACGGCTGTTATTCGATGATTAGAGAGTGTAATGGAGCCGACCTGGATCCTGCTGTATAAATCCAGCTCAACCTTCACGAGACTAAATATTCCCGTCACACACTAGAACTGCAGTGCAGTGCTGCATTTACTGCATATACTGTGCTACACACTCACACCATTCACACACACACTACTGCTCAAGAGATTGGGGCCAGTAAGATTTCTCTTTGAAGAAATGATTACTTTTATTCAACAAGTATGCATGGAATTGATCAAAAGTGACAGTAAAGGTTATAAAACTTTAAAAGGTTTTAAAGTTACAAAAGATTTCTATTTCAAATAAATGTGACACTGAAGACTGGAGTAATGATGCTGGAAATGCAGCTTTGATCACAGAAATAAATTATATTTTAACATACATTTACATTAAAAACAGATATTTTAATTGTAATAATATTTTACAATTTTACTGTATTTCTGATCAAATAAATGCAGCCTTGGAGAGCAGAAGATACATTAAAAATGCATGAATGAATGCATTTACAAACCTTACAAACCGTAAACTTTTGAACAGGAGTGTGTTACTGAATAATGAATAACTTTTTAATAAGTTTTCATCAAATAAGTAAAATAAATGATATTGTAAGAGTTCTCTGTGATGTAATTTCCTGTTTTATTCCTGTCACATGACTTGACTGACAAAAATTATTACACATTAATAATATTTAAAAACTAACCTGTATTTTTTACTTTATATCCCACAAATGCATCAAAAGAAAACCAAAGACATGCTCAGTTTTCATCACAGAGGAATTGCATATTTAACATATTTTAGAAGAAAACTTGCACCATGTCACTGTCCCAGACATGACACACGCTCTCATAATCTAACAAACAGGGTGTGAAAGTGATGCGGTCGTCACGGAAGCTGGGTGGTTGCCATGGCACCGCTGTGGCCCTCATTGATTGGATTACGGGTACGGGCAGAGCTGCCAAGGGCTCTGAGGACACACACACACACACACACACACACACACGACGGAGGGATTCTGGCAATGTGTCTGAATGTCATTCTGGTTACACACTAAACGGATTACATAATCACATAAAAGCCAAAATATATACTGATTCTGTGAGGTCGGTGTACTACTGCCATTGCTAAATTAATGATATAATCAGCTGCAATGTAGTTATTAGATAAATAAGATCTAATAGCAGCCTAATATACACCACACTAATGTATAAAATACTCCAACTATAACAACTCTCATTTTAGTTATCAATAATTTCACTGTAAATTAATATATTTTTTTAATTTTATAAGGTCATGGTATAGATCACAAAATTTAACTGAAAATAGATATATAAATACAATACAAAATATAAATAAATGTAATTGAAAATTAAAATGGAACATTTATTACAATTAAATCAATTGTATATATTTCATTGAATTTTACTGAAATGTCATGACTGCTGTTGATTAAAACTATTAAAAATCATTTCCAGCAATTCAAGATAAAGCTGAAGTAAAATAAAATACAAATCTTACATGAAAATAAAATAATACAATAAAATAAAATAAAAATGATTCCTTTTTTTATTTTAAATTAAAATAAATTAAAGCTATATAAAAATATAGCTTATAAAACTACATAAAAATGTAGCTTATAAAACTATATCAAATATAAATATATACAAAAATAACTAACCAATGAAAGATACACAACATAACAAAATTGTTAAAAGTTAAACTAAAATTAAAACAAAAACTGAAAATACTTTTTCAGTATTTTTTTATTTTGATCATTTTGAACCTGGAAGGATAAGCAATGAAATGTTGGATCAGTGTGAAAACAACCTCACAATATGTTACACCAGCATTAAAAACAAAAGTAAAATAAAACTAAAATTATAAAATGGATATTTTTGACCAATATACACTGACTTTTAATTTACCTTTAACTTCTGATGCCTTTGTGCAGTCTTAACAAACTTAAAAAAAGAGAGCGAAACAGACAAAACACTAACACACCCAGACAGCGTCTCGCAGCTCTCTCAGCATCAGACGGTGGTCTGGCACCCACGACAGTAAAGACACTACAGTGCTCTTCACAGACTAGATCACACGTTTCATCAGGTCTAAAAACTCACGCTGGCACTCCAGCCAAAACACTGCATATTTACGATGGCACGTTCACGCCGGGGTCCCCCAGGGCTCTGTCTGTGGCCCATTTTCAGGCTAAAAGGACCGTCAGGGCAGTTCAGTGATGGGCTTTTAACAGCAGGACACGACATATAAACAGAGCACAGGCCAGCTGGAGCCGCCGTCTACACGTGGCCTTCAGATTACCACTGTCGGTTTGGCAAACCCGTGGTGTGTGGGAATAACAGAGCTGGATTCCCCGCTAGCACTGGGAGCACTTTTCCGGCATTTACGTGTGCTTTCTGTAAGATCTGGGCCTTTAAAATAAATCATGTACCAGTAAAAGAGACTCATGAGTCGTAAACATCAACTCAACTTCAGATTTAATTGGCATGTGTTAACAAAAAATTATAATACAAAATGAAAATGTAGCATCAAACAAATAATTTTTGAAGTGTAAATAAAGATTATTCGAGCATGTTTTACAAGAAAATACTATTTTAAAAAATCATGTTTCATTCACTGTTACTTGCTATTTCTTTGTAAATAATTATGAAATTTACTTGCAATTTCTGAGAGAAAATTGTTTCTAGACCTTTTTTTTTCAGTGCATGAAATTGAAATGAACATGCATTTTGTAATTGACTATTAAAGCCTTCAAATATCCAGAGGATGTGAGTAAAAAAAAGTTAAAATGGATGACAAGCTGTTTGCTATCGGCTGGTTAATCTGAGACTGAAACAACAGCAAATCTCCCATTAGAATAATTAAAGAGCTTCGTTTGGCAGAGTTTAATGAGACAATCACTACGGTGTAGATCTGCATCTCAAATTAACTTAACTATATGATACTTTTGCATGCTTTACAGCTAAAAACTGTAACTTAAACCTGAATTATGAAACATAGATGTGGTTGAATTCAAGAGACTGGATGCAAAAGTATTTCAATTAAAATTGATGATTTTAAAGCACTGCACTGTATTTCTTAGCATAATAAAAGCATATATTTTAAATCAGAAACATCGCGACTACATGCAAATCAAATTTTTTTTTAAAAAGACGTTAACAACCTTCACTGTCTTTTCTCTGAAATGACTTTCTATTCATTTATAAAAACAACAGCATACATTTAATTTCTGAGCGATCAGCAATGGTTCAGCTCAGCATCATTAGCATCACAAATCATTTGCATGCAAATTGTCAATTAGAAGTTGCCATTCCTGTCTTGTTATTTTATATGTGCGTCTGAATGCCAATGCATTTGGTTTATATTAACATATTAATTTATTCATTAAGCAGATGCCCTTATCCAAAGCGGCTAACAAATAACGACAGCTAATACAAAATATAAAAAAGTTTTCCTTCTGTAAAAGAGTCTTGATGCACTTAAAGTTTTATTACACTTACACTTTAAATCAAAACCATTCGTTTCTCCATTCGTTCTCCCACTGTCATATGAACGGACCGCTTTCCTCATGCCACTAAAGATTCCTCATTTTAATCTGCGCCTGTCTATACGAAGCTCAGGAGGAATAAAATCCCTGCTGCTGGAAATCTGAACATCCGCGGTGAAGCTTAAACAGATAAGAGGCACGACTGACCCCGAGCCTGCATTAGAAAAACTCACTTCTGCTGCCATTAAAGCAGCCGAACAGAGTTTCTGAGCTTCAGGCGTGTTTGATTTGGACCTCAGCCAGACCCCCACATGCTCTCAAAGATCAGAAGACACACCACAGATGAATATGGTAAAAAAAAATATATATATATATCACCGATCTCTCCCAGCTGATTCATCACAGTACATTAAGACAAGTTTTCTGAAATTGTATGCCTAAATATGCAAATTAGATATTGTCTAGTTAAATATGAACTCATTTGCATACATTTGGGCAGAGCCAGATTCAAAATTCTAGTTTTATTTTGTTGACATATTAAATATGACATATGAACAAACCTTCAGAATATAGATATAAATAAAACTGTAAATGTTGGTGTTTGCAAATGCTACTGAAGCGGATTTAAACATTAAAGATATGTACAGCTATTCAAATCTACAGATGCAAACAGATACAGTGCAATAAAATAAACAGTTTTTTTTCACTAGTCTGAAATAAGACGCTATACAAACAAAATAGGCCAACATCCCAAAATTTACCAGTTTTTTTTTTTTAAAGATGCAAATAATGCATTATCTAATTAAATATGCACTCATTTGCATGCATTTCCAGAAAAGAAATCTAAACATTGGACAAAGTTTGTTTTAAAAGTGCTTGTTTTATTTTGTTGACATATTAGAGTCAGAAGTTTTTACAGAGGAGATTATAAAGATCTCTTTTTATCATGCCATAAATCAGAAAATACTGTCAACAGACAGAAAAATAAAATTTTCACCATGTTTTTAAGAATAAAATGTTGTAAAATCTGGTAAATGGTATATGAACCTTTAAAGGTAAACACCTTCAGAATATAGATATGAATAAAACAGCATTGTTTTATAATATATTTATTTATTTATTTCATAATGATTTCATACATTCATTTTTTATTATATTTTATACTTTTTATATTGTATATTGTTATATATTGTAAAAGTTTGCTCTACGTAAGTGCCTCTGAAGATTTAACTTCTGTTTAACTTCTAACACTGAAGAAGATTTAAACATTAAAGATATGTAAAGTGATTAAAATCTACAGATGCAAATAGATAAAGTGCAATAAAATAAACAGGGTGTATTTGGATGTTTTCTGTCCACTAGTCTGAAATAAGAAGTATTATGG